TCTCTCTCTCTCTCTCTCTCTCTCTCTCTCTCTCTCTCTCTCTCTCTCTCTCTCTCTCTCTGCTTCCTTCTCGAATTGGCAGGTGTCGTTTTGAACTTCTCGTCCCCTGTACCGGTGACGTCAACAGCACGAGCGATCGCGTGCTGTTGACGCCTCCGCCAGCGGGAGAGAACTTAGATCTCGCCATCTCTGCGCGGGGTCTGGCCCGTGTTCTTCCCTCACCTCCGATCGTCCCAGCGCGCTACCGGCCTTCCCCATTGCAGATGACGACAACGTCTACTGCGATGCAAACGTGCGGCGCGCCCTGAGACGAACGGAGCAGATCTGTTGGCGTAACCCGACTCAGGTGTGTTATATAAGGGGAGATGGGTTTGTCGTGATTGATCGATTTGCCTCCCCGACCCTGATATTGCCCTACACCAACTTGACGGTGCTACCCTGGTCGGCAGCCCACGCCACGTGGCAGCCGCGGTTCAATTGCCGCTGGTGTCGCCAGGGAGACTCTTGCTCCTTGCGACGGCTGGTTCTAGGGTACGAGGGAGTTACAGGTTTTTTCGAGCTCTCCCGTGGTGCAGGTGCGCGACCAGTGCAGTTTCGAACTTGGGTGCCGGCGGGCCATCCCGCTGTATCGGCTCCCGCGCAGGAGGGTCCTCGCAGGCTCGACGAGTTCGAAGCGAAGGCCTGAAGGCCTCGAACCAACTACCTGTACGACTAACCCATCGCAGCGTGACGAGGAACAGAGGCCTCCGCCCTCCGCTGCCCTGGCCTATTCCCCCTAGTGCTTTTTCTTGTTTTGATTCACTACGGCCATCCCGGTTTGCGGGACTCCCTTTATCCCGCGAGGAGGCGTATCTTTTCCCTCGAACGTCAGCGGCAACGGTTCAATTCCTTGGCAACCTCTGGCCCGAAACCAAGAGATCCCCGTTTCGATAAGGTGACTTCATCCCTACGACAAAAAATCCTCGGTCACACCCCCAATAACTCTGATCGGCGCGCAAGGGCACGCTACGCCGCACGGGGTGTGAGGTTGGTATCAGAGTTGATTCCTTTGGGCCCCGAGGTCCCTCGGAAATACTAAACGCAATTTTTGTTAATTCAGGAATTTGAATAGGTTGGCGCCCAGGCGGTCCCTCGGGTGCGTCTCCAGCGGGTGCTATAATCGGCCAAGGCCCCATCCATTTCGGAAGGAGCTTGCGAGAGATGTCTTGTTCAAGGCTGAATTCCGTTGTGGAAACCCAAACGAGGTCGCTGGCTCAGAATGGACAAGGAAGACGCTGGCGATTGGCCTGCTGGCTCCTGCGCTGCTGTGTCTTAGCCATCTGGTCGCGTGCTTTGACAAGAAGCTCTTGCATCCGACGTAAGAAGAGAAGATGGTCGTCGCTTTCGGCCACTCGTGAAATGATGGTGTCCAACGGGGAAGTGACCGGCGAGCCGTGCTCGAATTCGAAGGGCAACATCCCAATAGTCGGGTGGATGGAGGAGTTGTAGGTCAACTCGACATCCGGCAAACGCTCAACCCAATCCCTTTGGTCCGGGCGGATGAGAGTACGAAGGAGARCCTGTGCGGTCTGGTGCGCCCTCTCTATTTGGCCATCGGTCTGGGGGTGGCCAGCGGAACTGGGCTTAAGTGACGAGCCCCATCGCTTGATGAGCGCCAACCAAAAATCAGACATGAGCCGAGTGTCACGGTTGCAGACGATTTCCTTGGGGTAACCCTTGGTTCGAATCCAACCGGCGTGAAGAACCTTGCCCGACTCCGGTGCCTTGGCATGATAGCGGCAAGGCAAAAACATGGCGAACTTGGTGAGTCGGTCGACCACAGTGACTGTGAGAATCCCATCCACTCCGGTCTTGTGCTTGGGGAACGGGCCGGTAATGTCCATGGCAATCGGTTCCCTTCGCCACAGGGGGACCAGTAGCGGTCGCAACTCGCCGTACGGACGATGATTGCGGGATTTGCAATGTCGGTAAACCTCGTATGACTCACAATAGCATGTGGCGTCGTCGAGAAGATCAGGCCACCAAAAGCGCTCGCGGAGTCGGCCAATCGTACGATTGACTCCAAAGTATCCGGTGGCGGGAGCGTCGTGGAACTCGCCAAGAAGCCGTGTGCGCAAGTGTAAATCTCGTGGCACAAAAAGAAGATCCTTTCCTCGCGAGTGAACGAGCAAGTACCCCTCTTGGATCCGATAGTGCGATGGCGCCGGATTAGGAGAGGAGCAATTTGCGTAGTTGTCGTAAAGGTCGGGGTCTACTTGGTAGCCACGGATGAAGCTGTCCCGCAAGTCGTCGTCAATCTCGAAGGTCAAGTAGACTGCGGTACAGTGGTCCGGACGCCGTGAAAGAGCATCGGCAAAACGGTTTGACTTGCTCGGGATGTGGTCGAGGAAAAAGTCAAACTGGTCGATGAAGGTCATCCAACAGGCAATGGTGCTATTGACCATGTCTTGGGTCTTGTAGAAGACCAATGGATTGTTATCCGTTACCCATCGGAAATGCTGTCGACCAAGAAGAAAATGTCGCCAGCGCTTGAGCGCGTGTACGAAGGTCAATAACTCCTTCTTCCGTGCATCGTCAATCGAGTGCACAACGGGTACTTTCTTGCTAAAGTACTCGATCGGGTGCCAGTCCACACCGTCATGTTGCTCGCAGACAGCACCAATGCCATAGCCGGACGCATCGGTAGTGACGCGTGTAGGCAAAAGCGGATCGTAGATGCGCAACACCTCCGCGGATAGCAATGCGGCTTTGAGAGCCAAAAGTGAAGTCCGCGCATGGTCGTCGAAGTCGAATGGCCGGTCCTCACATTGAAGCTTGGATAAAGGAGCCGTGATCTTCGAAAATCCCTTGATGAAGCGTTGATAGTAGCTAGCCAAGCCAAGGAAGGAGCGGACGTTTTTGACGGTCTTCGGCTCCGACCACTCTTGGATGGATTGAATCTTGTTCGACAACGGACTGATGCCCTCTGATGTGACAAAATGGCCCAAGTATTCCAGCTCTTGCGAGACAAATTTGCACTTGTCGCGGTTGGCTTTGTACTTGACGCGGCAGAATGTCTCCAATACTCGTCGAAGGTGCTCAAGATGATCCTCCAATGTTCGGCTATAGACGAGGATGTCGTCTAAGTGGACTAGTACAAACCGGTCCAGCATCGCACGGAACGCGTTGGTCATTGCCGTTTGAAAGGTCGTCGGGGCATTGGTGAGACCAAACGGCATAACGATCCACTCAATGTGTCCGTACCACGTCTTGAACGCGGATTTGTAGCGATCTTGCGGGCGTATCGAGATTTGATGGTAGCCCGACTTCAAGTCCAATTTTGAAAAAAAAATTGCCCCGCCCAAACGCTCGAGAAGGTCGTCAATTCGCGGAAGGGGTCCCGCATTCTTGACGGTTTGTGCGTTGAGCTTGTGGTAGTCGATGCACAAGCGGAGATCCTTGTTCTTCTTCCGTACGAAGAGAACTCGCGCACCATATGGTGAGCTGCTAGGGCGGATCCAGCCCTTGTCCAAAAGATCGTCGAGTTGAGCGTGAAGAACCTCGAGCTCTTCCTCGCTCATGCGATAGATGCATCCTTTCGGTGGCACAACACCGGCCTCGAGAATGATCTCGTGGGAGATCGGCCGATCCGGCACCACAACGGTAGGAGACTTGAAGATGTCAGTGAATCCGTCGAGCAGCCGCACCACTTGGGGGTCCGAAGACAAGTCCGTTGGTGAAGATTCGGTCATCGCGGCGGCTCATAGAAAACATAGGCCGATCTTGTCGGTCCGCTCGTAAGCGCAAATGGCCTGAAAAGACTTGGCCGTTACAACTTCGCACCGGATCGAGGAGTGCAGAAGAGGAATGATACACACCACCTCGGCGCCGAAGGCGTCGCGAATGGTAAGTGTCCAATAATGGAAGTTAATTGTGTGATCCGCACTTGCAAGCCAAGGCATGCCCATAATGATGTCTAAGTCCGTGTCCAAGACGTCAAACGTCACCGGTTCGCATGCATGAGGTGCGAAATAAACCGGCACGACTTCAATGTAGCGATCGAGGATTTGTTGCGTCCGACCGTCCGCCAACTTGATCGTCGTCAGGTCTGGCTTCTGTCAAACTTTAGCGCCAAGGACAGCCCTTTGGATGAAGGAATGGCTGATGAAATAGCAAGTCGTGCGGCTATCCAGCAAAGCGTTGAAGGACGCTTGCCCAACTTGGATGCGGACATAGAGGAGCGGTGCGTTGTTATCATTGTACCGCTGTATGCGAAACTCGCGGGCCACCTTGGTAACATACGCAAGGATGTCCCCCACCGCAGCTTCGTCATCCGTCGGTGAAGATGGTGGTGCATAGAAGGCTAAGTATGTGTGGAGATGGGCGCATAGTGTTGCGCATTGCAGTCCCGGCAAGCAGCTTGTGGAAGGGAGAGGAGGCCATGCAAAATCCTCGGACGTCAATGGGTCCAAGACCTCTATGTTGAACTCGTGCGTCGAATCCCTTGAAGAGCCACTTGAAGACGATCGATTGTTGTTGTTGCCGGACGGAGAAGAAGTCGCACACACATCTTGTCCTTGAGCTTGAGAACCCAGCGAAGGAACGAGCCGGGCAGCATAGTCCTCATAAGAATACAAGAGAGGACTGTCGACTTCCGCATGTGCCTCGGAATGAAGAGAAGTCGCTCGCGAAGCAACCGATTCTGAAGGCGTCGAGAGTGCAATCACATCACTCTCGGCGGTGCTCACTTTCCCGAAGGGGATTTGGCTTGGACTGGTGTGGGGCACGTTGCGGTGTCGTGCACCGCGCTGTTGCACCACAAGCAATATCGGTACTTAGAACGGACGCGGTACACGCCTTCCGCGATGCCGTAATGTGTCCAAGGCTCTTGAGCCGCTGGTCCGGCCCCGGGGGCTGAAGTGGTGTGTGTCTTCGGTTTGCCGCATCCTTGCCCTCTGGCGGGGCGGGCACCATCCCAGGTGGCTGCCAATCTGTCTCCTTCCTCAGAAGAGGCARCCTTGTTTGAAATGTTGGTCGTTGTAGTTGCTGCGACCACGGCCACTCTTGGCCGATGTTGTCCTCTGCCCTGGCCTGCACCACACGAATGACCCTAATTCTTGGCCTCGATGTTCGTTAGGATGATCTGCGAGGCTTTGTCAAAAAGCTGCTCACTTGCGGTGAGCGTCTCCGTAACTTGCGTCAAGGCGTTCTGCAACGCCGGGCAGCTTCTCCGGATGAAGAATTGCTTGATAGCGAAGAATGTCGACGACAAGTTAGGCGTGGATGCCAAGCGTTGGTACTCGGTGATCCAGTCCGTGTGTGGCAGGTCCTTCTGATAGAACCGTTGAAGTTTCTCGGCCGCCAGAAGCTCGGGCGGCTCCACTTGGAACCGCTTATGTCATGGTGCCTTGAGATCAGCCCTATGAAACCCCCCGGGCGGCGGACAGGCGCGACCGTGGCCGAGTCTGTGACCCCTCGGACGCGCAGCTTCGCGGACTCGTGGTGGCCGCAGGGGAGGGAGGTTGAGGAAACGGGAAGCGCCACGTGGCGGCGCAACCCCAGCCCCACCCCATCAGGCAAAAAAAAACGAAAAAAATCAAATTTTTGGTTGAGGGGGTAAGGGCAAAATCGAAGAAAATAGAAAAAAAGAACGCTTTTTTTTTTTTTTTTTTTTTTTTTTTTTTCCGTTGATTGATTGATTG